ACCTCAGCCGAATCATAAAAAATCGTAAGAGGGAAAGTGGTTCGATCTCGTAGTCCCAGTAAAAATATAAAGCAAAAACAGACAGTGAAAAAGAAAAGCTCCACCTTTGGTTTGACAGGAGAGGGGTTGACGGTGACAGGTGGTGGCCACATCAGCTGGCCCTGATGAAGGACCGTTGCACCGCGTACCACCTGAAAGAATTTGGATTGAAAAAGTGGTAGAACCTAATCGTAATCCATCATAATCAACTCGGACATGTCGAAAATAGCCACTCACCTCGTCGGAGAGATTCATTTTGAAGGAGTCCTTATCGCTCATGTATAGGAGAAGTTTTGAAATGTTATTAGCGTACAAAGTACTGGCTTGAGTAGGAAGCCTGTAAGAAAGTTCCATTACGTTACACTTATGGCTTATTCCAGTGATTAACCACTGAAAGCATTGCACATAGGCTGCTTTCATAGTCCACGATTTGGCGAGCGACCGATCGCGCGCTGGCCGTGCGATCGGTCGAGGAGGCGGCGCTAACCATGGGCGCCGCCAAGCGATCGGTCGCTCGCCAAATCGTGGACTATGAAAGCAGCCATAGAAGCGTTGAATTGTTCTGAAAATCTCAGATAATTAGTGAAAGCCCAGCTAGGAGCTAATTCCCGCTTCAAAGGGCCATAAGAAATCGCCTGCATAGAACAGGTCAGGGACAAGTGGGTGTGGCCAAAAACTCATTCGTATGGAATGTGTAAGCCCTAGGGGTAATGTGACAATAACCAATATCAGATGCCAATTTTACAATCAGTTTCATTTGAATGAGACAAAATCTTGGCCGGATGTTGACTTTTCTCAGCTCTCCAGAAGGAGGGTCGAGAAGAAATCTGATCTTCTCTCTCACTAGGGTTTTCATTAGAATAAAAGCGGCTTCAGAGCTATGGAAGTGGATGCTACACGAATTTCGTGCAGATATTTTCAAAATGGAACAAAACAGAAAAAAACCAACCTTGATGGCAAATCAACATAACCAATATGTACAACTCCATGCTTTGTATAACATTGTCCTGGTTTTGTGGTTTCAATGTTACCACCGGCTTCAGCCGCTAAATCGACTACAACACTTCCAGGTTTCATCGTACGAATCATATCCTGTAAGTAGGTGATTCATGAGTCAGTAATAACAGAAACACTTTAAATGGTTTTATTAAAACTATAGAACCTCAGTGATTAAACGAGGTGCAGGCTTTCCAGGAATAAGTGCAGTTGAAATGATTATGTCTACTTCCTTGCACTGTTTAGCGAATAAATCCATTTCTGCCTAAAAAATGGAATTATTATGCAATTTAGGTCATTCTTTATTTATATAACTTTTATTTACAATTAGAACAGTATATTCAAACTATACGAATTTCTATTTAATCTCAAAAAAAAAACTAAACAAACGGGATCAAAGTGCCATCGTGAGATAAAAAAGTTCAGTGCAGTGTAAAATGAAGGCATGTCAAAACTCAGACCTTCAGGAATTCTTTGCTCATTTCTTTTGCATATCCACCAGCTCCTTCACCTTCCTCTTTTATGTTAACCGTGAGAAATTCTCCACCCAGTGATTGAATCTGCTCTCGAACTGCTTCTCGGGTATCGAAACCACGAACAATGGCACCCTGAAGATGGGTGGATCTCTTTACTACATGAACAGATTTACCAGTTAATTCACGTTTCGAAGAAAAAAAAACAAAAAAAAATCAGAAAACATCAATCTGGCTTCCAAGCCACCTTTGTTGAGAAGTAAAAAAATATACATAATTAAAAGCTATATGCTCGTCTGCTGTACAGATTTTCCATCGCTGTACTAGAAACGAGTTTTGCAAAGCCATGAAATCCCACTTTATTTTTGAATGTTGTTGTTATGTTGTTGTTGAATTGTTGTTTATTTGTTGTGTTATTGTTTGTTTCTTTGTTTGAAAGCCTGAGATCAACCTTGTATACTGCCCAGTATGGTGAAAAAGTCGAAATTATTATTATTATTGCAGATACGTGTCAAAATGATAGACGTTAAAAATATCAGGTAAAGTACGTGGCGATGAGTATTCAATAATTTTGTAATAAAATTGAAAATATTGACATCTGAAGAACAGTCTGATAGCAATACGAACCCTACCCTGTTTTTCGCAAATTTTTAGAAAACAGGTTGCTAAATGCTCTGTAGATTATTGGAAAAAACTTCGAACTACAGCTTCAATGAGAAATGGGTTGATTTGAATTTCACCGTAATTTTACACTTTTTTCACGTAATACGAGATTTTCGTAAAAACATCTCATCTTTCGAAACCTTTTTGTAC